CCGCATCCGTGGGACACGCTGAAAGGGAAAAAGAAAACAAAACAAACACAAAGGAAAATCTGGACAAACACGTAGCCTGGTTACAGCGGTGATCAAAGATCTGTTGCCGGCCGCTCGTCGGTGTAGGTCGAGGTTAAACTAAAAGAGTGCAAAAAAAAAATCCCAGGCGCCAGAAGCTGTATATAAGGTATCTAACAGATCGTGGACGGTTCTGCTTCCGCTTCCAAAGCAGACGAAACTGGCTGAAGTCAGACTCAGGAACACTAAATAGAAATAAACGAAAGTAGGAGAGACGAAGTAGGCGAAGAAAGACAGGTGCACAATTTTTATTTATTCGGTAATCAATATAAAGTTCTGAAGAGATAGGTTAATTAGGGGAAGTGATAAAATTGGTTTTTGTATTTCACGGGACAACAAAAATTAGGTGGTGCGAGAATTATACCTGACGGCAACAAGAATAGTATAACAAAGGTTAGTGCCAGTAGACGTATACCGGTCAATGTTATTGATCAAAGTTAAAGTTTGCAGGTTGCCGTGGAAAGATCTTTCATCGAGACGTGCAAGTAGAGTGCTGCAGACAGACAGCAGTTATTCAGATTTAGGTAACTCTTGTTTTAGTCTTACAAAAATTTAAAGTAGTTGAAATGAATCACCGTGAAGCGGTAGTTGTATTGCACCTGACAGTTTTATACTTGAACTACAAAGGTAGTTGTCAAATATTAGTTTACACAAATTATAATTATAAACAGATTTTATTGAATAGATAGGTATGTGTGAGGTGAATGATTAAGGATATGAATGCATAACTGAGGACAAGAGATTACAGGGAGATAAGATAAGAGGGAAAAAGATAAGAAGGAGTAAGGGAAGAGAAGAAAGGGAGTGAGTGACTTCAGGGGTAGTTTTGGGAGAGGTTGCTGACCTTTTGGTGTTTTAGTAGCCGATGGTTGTATAACTGAAGATGGTTCTTCGGAAGCTGGTATAACTCGGGGTAGATACAACAATAGGTGTGCCTCGGCTTCGATAACCCTTGGTGCTATCCTGAAGTTCTGATAGAAGAAATGGAAGTGACGCTGACGAAGACGGAAGAATAGGTAGTGTCCAGTGACGTTCGATTAATTATATAAAATTGATTTCCAGAGAGAATAGAATGGCTAAAAGAATTTATACCTAAATCCCGTGCAAGATGGTAATAAGTTGGCTTACCTCTACAGGTGTTGAACGAGCCTAAGTTTTATGCTGCCATGTGGTTAATGATCCGCATAACGCGTAAAACGCCAAATCACAATTGGAACAATTGAAACGTAAGTAAATAATAATTACGGCGTAAATGTAGCTTAAATTCTTGATAATCCTCACAGATGAGCCGGATAAAACCCAGTTAAGAATTTGTAGCTTCACCACATACAGACAAGTGTCTTACAATGCCACAGGAAGAATGAATTCGGGGAAAAATCAAGAGCACTAGGGATTCCCCTTATCTATTAGGTAATACAAATAATGAAACCGAAAGTTTCCTAAATTCAAATTGTAGGACAAAGAAAGAAGACCTAGATAAGCTGAGAGAAAGAATAGGAAGATTTTTAAATGTGAACAGTTCGATGTTATCAGTAAGATTAAGATGTGAAATCACAGAAGAGAAAGGAACAATGAACTAGGAAAATTGAAATGTTATAACCCGTAATTAATGGACAAGACATAAAGTAAAAACCCAAACCCAACCCACCCCAAACAAATTAAAACCCAGGAAAATCCCCAATAAAAAAAAATAGACCAACCCCTGGAGCTGACAGAAAATAGAGTACTCCTGAAACCCGTCCCATAGAATAGAAAACAAGGAAAGATGAAGAGTGAAGAGCTCAGATAGAGGAGCGAAACTTACATTCGAAAGGAAAATGAAAGAAGTGAACGTAAGCCTCTAAGGTAGACCTGTCCTTAAAACATTCCCAACCTGCCGCCCGAATTGAATGTAAATTAAACCTAGATTCTGGAGAAAATATAGAAAATTAACCGTTACAAAAATCTTATCCACTCCCCAAGGTCATGATCTTGGGAAAACCCACTCCATGACCTTGTGACGTCACAAAATCCAAGATAGTCTGCCCCTGTTTCACTATTTCTAAGACTGCTGGTTTTGTCAGCTTAGTAAACTGCTTGTATAAGAAAATGGTCATTTAATCCTACAAATTTAATGGTACGTTTTCCCAGTCCTACGCTTGTAAATGTTGAACCTGCGCAGATCATTAGCTACCTCTGCTGTTGAGAATTTTCACAGAGAAAAAACTGGCAGTCTAGTCGAACCCAATCTACTCACGAAGATTCAGTCTTTTATTAATCACTGAAGAAACCAAGAGGGTGGCTGCTGGACTATTAGCTGTTATAGTCCAGTCATTATATACCAAAAACGGCAAATAGAAAAAATAATTCGTTTAGTCCCAATTTTTTCTGAAATGTGTGGTGGAAGGTCTCTTGATGATTGTCCCGAGCGATTTCGTTGTCACTGGCGGTGAGCTCATAGAGGACAATTTTCTAAATCGAAAGTTCATCATCGATTTCCAGCTAAGGGCTCTTAAAGGTGAGCAATTTTACAAAAAAAACTAACGTTTTCTTATAGCTCATTTCCTGTTCACTTTTTAGGTACAAGTGGATGGTTGTAGGGAATTAAATTTCCTTCCAGAATCATCGACATGTGTGGTGTTTATGCTTCGACAGTTCGACTGTACCCACAAAAAACAAGAATAAAGAGAAATTTCGCGAGCGAAGATAATGTGCAATTCAGATGTACGTACAATCCCTCACTGTGTTCTTTACTGGGTGAAGGTGTCCATTGTCACCTCTTTTCCAGCCCCATTGTTCTGGAAAAAGTGATTTCTCCAGGCCACTGCTGAACTACGAAATTGTTACCCTACGACCCACCATTTTCGAGAAATAGTCGAAAAACCGCACATTTACCCCCCACCCCTCCCTTCGGTGACACCGAAATCACTTGGTTCTTGACTACACGATCATCAGTGGACCTTCAACCACACATTCCAGAAAAATTGGAACCACACGAATTATTTTTCCTATTTTTCCTAGAATAACTGGACTATTAAACACAATATTAACTGAAGAAATGTGCACAAGGGTAGAGAATGCGGCAACTCAATTGTTGGTGAAATTACAGAAGATGCACTATTTTATTAAATGTGGTTTGGAATTTTTCTTATTGGACTCGCTTTAATATAAATTTGACGATCAAAGCGTTCGCAGTCAGTGTTCTCATTATTTTCAACAACACAGCATGAGCTTTTATCAAGTCATCACGGTAATAAGATTTCTTCAATTACTACCCGGTTATTATTTCAATTTACTGGTTAACAGAATTATGCCTTTGTCATTCCTAATAGTAGGTACCGCTATTCGATTTGTCTCTCCAGGTATGAATTTAAGTAATTGATGGTCAACCGATTATTAAGCGCAAACGGATTAAATTTACTTGTAGAACGAATTATTAAAAAAAAAATATCGCAGCGGGGATTCGCGCACGTATTCGGATGATAAAGGATCGATTTGTTCGTTGGGGTATGATTTGCAAATAACCGAGTGCTTACCCGAGCGACCTTATCATTGGTTCAAAAATTGTGAAGTATTACGGAGAAAAAATTCCACAACTGATAACATTAGCTAGACATCGTTACATGCCTAACTTGGATTTAGAGGCCCTGATGATACTTGTCCGCTAGTAACAATTCTCACTTTACTCATTTTTTTTTTCCTCCAAAAACGATGTTTTCCTATGAAACTGTCCTAGAAATAGTATGTTGGTTCTCCTGTATCCATTTTTGTGAAATTCTCTCGACACAATAGGAATTTTTAAAAAGTTCACTACAAAGCATTGACGATAAATTTTGAAAGTTGAAGTGTGTTTACGTTAGTTTACCTAATAATTGCGAATTGTGAACACGACAGGTTTTTCATTAATTTTAGCTTATTCCCAAATAATGTTTGTTCCTCGGTTTGTTCCATCAGTTGGCCAACCTGTTTGTGTCGTCAATGTTATTTTTTCTTTATTTTGTTCAGTATGGTCATAAGGACCGAGGGAGAAGGTCTAGGCTCAAATAGGTAAGAACAAAAAAAAACCAACCATAATCATGCAACAAATTTTCTACATTTACTTGATTGCTACTTGCTTTTCAAGGCTTGTTTGTTCATAATACCCTGCACGCAGGATGTTGATAATTAAAAATTAAATTACTTAGTTTTTCTCTCTAATAATCCAAATAATCTGGTCGTAAAAATTTTGCGATATCCAGGCGCACTTATCAAAGACACAAAAACACTCGCTGGCAGCTTTAGGAAACTACACTTCTTTAATAAACCGAACTCAATGACTCGAAGTGGCTTAATAATACAATGAAGGATTTTTGGTAGCTGTTCGGACGGTAGAAATTTTAATGAAAGACAAACCTTTTGGAAAGACTTCTCTAAGTTGACAACTGCCTTGTTTACTCACACTCGAACTAACTTCTTTTGAATACGGATAAACTGTTTTCAAAACATTCCACAATCTTTCAATCATCTTCTTGTTTGGGATTTTCAAAAACCCCCGACAAGCACAATTAGATTTAATAACGCCAGCTCTGAAGGCACGCATCCCCACTTATGCCTAAAATAACGCGCAATTATTCGAAACAGAACACGTGCGTTAATTACATTTCATCTGACAAAAACTCCTTATCGAAAACGTGATCGTTTTGCACGTGGTACAATTTAGTTGTGGGAACTCATGCGCCTTCAGAAGTAGACGCCCCAATAACTCATACGATTTTTAATTCGAGATGCAAATCGACGATGTCATATCTCAATTACCGAGTCTTTATCTCGGGGATACCGGGTCTCTAATCTGATTTCAGAGTGACGCCGGGAACCCGGACTTGAGCTCAACTCCACGTCAGCATTCGATTTAACAATGTTCCCAAATAAAGGCTTGCTTTCATTGTGGTTAAATGGCTAAGATCAAATCTGGCTGGGGTAATTGATTTTTTCCCAAACAACACTATTAATGGGGAAATGCGCTTTTTGTAAACCGTTTATGATAACCTTCGTATCTGATTGTTAGATGCATTTCAAAACGGCACCCAACCAACGTCATAAACACTCTATTTAAAGCTGTTAGTAAACAAAATTAGCCATCTTCACAGACATTCTGCCTGTAGTACATTCTCTTCTAATATGGATGCCTTCTATTTCTGACAGAGCGCATTGATGACTATACATTGGGCGGAACCTTCGGTTCGCATTGGTCAGTAAAAAGTGACTAAAATAGTCCCTGTCGTGTCAAGAAGCTTTTACGATTCACCTACATGAAACCTTTGTGCTAAATAAAACAATAATAAAATACCAAGACATATTAAAACCGGATTGGTCTTATCATCACGTTGGTTAAAAGTCATTATTAAAACATAAAATTAGCATCAAAGCTACATTTTCTTGTGGTGGTTTTACAATAGGTACGGAAAAGTACAATTGAGATATTTCAGGTTTATAATGTTAACGTGACAGCATTAAGTAATTTGCAACTTAAATGAGTTTAATGTTATAAATACAACAAAAATATTCATGCATGCTTAAACGGAAATTTTAATAACTATAAAATCCTTAATTACAGTGTCAGACAAAATGATGGATTTCTATTATACTCATGCACAAAATGGAAATATATAACCTATTAAAATTTAATTATCTCAATAAACTGTAGGTAACATAAAGTTTTACATCAGTGAATAAATTGCATCGCATGCTTATCTCATTAAAGTTTACCACAATACTGCTTAGAAAATCCTGCGAGTCGGAAACAAAGTTTTTACGTCGATGTCGTGTAAAATAAATAGACGGAAAACAAACCGACGCATTAAACTTATCGTACTGCAAATGTGAAAAATTAACTTCATAGAGTTTGCAACTACCAAAAAGTACAGTGGAAAGGCAAGGGTATTGTAGATTGTGTGAAATAAAGCCAACTGGCAAAACCAACCCCATCTTTGGACCAATGCTATAAAATTCTAGTATGTAGATTTTAAATGTTGCCTTTATCGCGTCTGGCGTTGTATGAATATTACCTTGCTTTAATGTATGCTTAAAAAGTAAATTGTTCTTTATAGAAGTGTTGCTTGTCGCATACATAATCAGTGTTGGGAATCGGCGGTTTAGCGCCAACGATTAATTAAGCTGACGGTCGACATAAACTATATTGCATCGTTCGTTCTCTTAAGTACTAAACCCCGGTTACCTTCACGTTTAACTGTGTATAATCAGTCTTTTCATTTTTTACAGGGAAATAGGGTCTTAGATTTATGTTGCCAAAGTTCCGAAGAAAAGAAATCTTATAGGATAAGTGGTGCGAAGAACAAATAGCAGTCATATAACATGAAAATTCTCCTGCATTTTTGTTATTGTGGCCGTTTTGAAGCAAAAAGTTATAATACTCGTAAATGGGGAGATTTTATTTTATTTTATTGGGTTATCGACAATTTACCGAATCGCGAACTACAGAAATAACCCTTTTTACATTTTGGTTATTCAATTCTACTTTGAAGTATTTTGTGGACCGGTGTCATTCTTTCGTTAAATTTATTTAACAGTTAATCTCTATGGAAACATATCCGTTATATTCATATTGGACAAGCAGATATATTTAAGTGAAATATGAGAGACCAGCCTTAGGGAATTTATTTCCAT